AATAAAAATACGCAACTCCTCAAGTCATGTTAATTCGGCAAACTGGTTGATGGTAAATAGTTACAGAAATAGTTAGTCAAATTCTGTTCGTTTCACCCAAGGGTTGATGGAAAATGGTTAGGTAATAACAATACAGAACTAGTAGAATTGTGGTAATTCGGCAAATACGTTTATGGCAAATCTTTACAAAAATAAAAACACAAAACTAGTAGAAAAATGTTTATTGACAAATGAATTAATGGCAAATGGTTACACAAGTCACATTACAGAACTAGTCGAATAATGTTAATTTTGCATATGGGTTTATAACAAATGGCTACAGAAATAACAAGACAGAATTAGACAAATCATGTTAATTCGGCAAATGGGCTGATTGCCAATCTTTATACAGGAAAAAAACAGTACAAAAAGGATGTCCATGTGAATGCCAATAATGTAATTCAAGATTGTTTGACGTCGAGAATGTGGACCAGAAACATCTAAACCCATTTGGGTGAGAATCGTAGGAAGCCCTAGCCGTTGGTGAGCATGGAGTAGAATGCGGCAGTGCCACTTCTGTTGCACTCCAGCCAAAAGAGATAATGATTCTGCCGGACACCAAAAATGTTCAAAACTCGGATAAATGAAGAATGACAAGCCCCTTCATTCGAACAGCTTGAACAAATATCGATAAATGAAGATGAAGAACAACTATCAGAAAGAAAAAGAAAGAAAAAAAGTCACTATACCGCAGCAGAAAGGAGGAAGAAAAGGAGGAATTAAACGGTTGCTAGTCCAGAGGTGCGAATATATCCTTTGTGTGTGTGTGTGTGTGTTTATTTTGGTATATTCTGTTAAGTTGGTCACTTTTACAATTAATGAACAAGCTTGATTAGCTTAAGCCCCTGAATAGTCAAATATAGTTAATTTAGCAAATGGTGAACGAAAAAAAATCCTTATCTAGTCAATTAATGTTAATTCGAGAAACGGGCTGTTGACAAGTTTTTACAGAAATAATAGTGCAAAACTAGTCCAATAAGGTTAATTTAGAAACTATGTTCCTGGCAAACGGTTACAGAAATAAAAGCAAGCAAGTGGTCGAAAAATGTTAAATTGGAAAATGACTTCACAAGAAATTATAGATGTCACAAGAAAAAACTAGTCAAATAATGTTAATTTTGCAACTTGGTTCATGGAGCGTGGTTACAGAAATCAATGCTGTAGACACAACTAGTTAAATAATGCTGATTTGGCAAACGGGTTGATGGCAAATGGTTACAAAAATAAGAATACACATCGAGTCATACACTGCTCATTGGTCAAACAGGCTGCTGGCAAATGGTTAGAGAACTAAGAGAACTAACAATATGTTCGTTTCAAATGGTTACAGAAATAAAATACATAGCTACTCGAATAATTCTTATTTGACCGAATGGGTAATGAAAAATGGTTACAGATGTTACTACAGAGCTAGTCAAAATATGGAATTCGACAGATAGATGGGTTCATGATGTAGGTTTGCAGTAATAACAAGAAACAACTACTCGTCAAACAATGTTAATTTGGCAAACGGGTTTCTAGCAAATGATCACAGAGATAACAATACACAACCAATCAAATATTGTTTGTTTGGCTAAAAGGGTTTGTGGCCAATGGTTAAAGAAATAACAATAGAGACCTAGGCTAATCGTAATAATTTGGCCAATGGGTTCATGTCGACGGACTTATTGTTACAGAAATAGCACTACACAACTAGTCTAATATTGTTAATTTGACAAAAGAATCGATGGTAAAAGAGTTACAGAAATAACGATATCAAACTACGTCGAATACTGTTAACTTATCAAAAGGGTTTCTTGAAAAGGTTAAATAAATAAAAATTCAAAAGTAGTCAAATTATGTTGACTTGACAAATGGATTAATGTCAAATCGTTACCAAAATAAAATACTTTCCTTTGTCGAATATTATTAATTTCACAGACAGGAAGATGAGACAAGGATACCACGGTTTCCCCCTGGAGTTTTAAGTGTTTGTTAGTTCCACGAAATATAGACTCCGCTCCTCGCCAGCCGAAATGGCATTGCGAACCTGGAAAAGACGGTCTTCCTTGCAATTAAAATTTGAAGGCAGGGTTTGAGAGTGTAGTTTCATAAGAGGGTGGAGTCATGTTTTCAACGTGTAGCGCACTGCTTAATCAAGGAACAGAAAGTATATTATTTTAGCAAATTCTGTAAATGTATTGCGTAGGTGAATACATTTTGTTAAAAAAAATGCAGGAGGGGTAAGGGAGGTGTGATATGTATTAAATATTTTTATACTTGGTGTGGGCTAAGTGTTTGGTGAATATATGTTCGTCACATTTAGGTGATCTTTACTCCTGTGGTCAGTCATCACAGCCCCCGTTTTTTTTTAAATTGTTTGAGAAGAAAATTAAGTAATAAAGGACTTCTCGCTCTGATGCTTTTCAGTGAGTTTTGTAAGCACTCAAAATAAAATACGCTATTTAAGGGGAAACACTGGTCTTGGAGCTTTTTTCTTATTTTATGACCAAACTCAATGAAACTGCACAAGCTTGTTCAGCTTTTTGTGCTGATTTCATATATCTGGTAATTTCCTCAGTCACTAGAATTGTCCCGAAGACAATTAAAACGTGCCTGCCTTTGTTTGGAGGCATGATACGGAAAAAACTGCTCAACAGAATATCCTTTTTAACACATGGCCAGATACTACGAAGTGCGAAGGATACAATGCTGGAAACACTTTTAAGATAAACCCATTATTAGTGATTTTACAACATATTGAAGCTGAGTTCTCAATGCATGGCTAACAAGTAATAAAACAAAAGATCAAATAAAAAAAATTCTAGACTTATATTAAAAAATTTGCTCTCAACATTGTATGCTTCACACATTTAGCTACACGTTTCAGGAAAGGCTTTAATTCCGACTGCTGTAGATCCCGAGATATCCCTCCTGCAAATTTCCAACGAGTTCAAAAATTGTGTTATGTGAAAACAATGGTTTAGAGTCAACTTTAATGCACATTCAGCCCGCATAGACCTTATAAATTGATTTATAGCTCAAATATTCATCCACGAAATTAGAAGCCTGGTAGATTATAATATTTATAAAATTGTAAATATCTAGGATACTTCGTGCACTGGAATTTTGGTTTATGCCATGGGGCTAAACATTGCCGTTTCTAGATAGTTATTTGGAGGGTATAGTGGCTCTTCCGAATTTCGACTCTAGTTTTCACGTGTAATCTGCTTATGTGTGTGTGTGTTTTTGTGTGTGTGTGTGTGAATGTTTGTTTTCTTTGTGTGTATGCGCTTGTATACGGGAAAAAAGGAATTTATCCTTTTAATCTCATTAAATTAAACATTTACTTCCACGACGAACGAATTAACGATTCCACGATATAACATTTATACATTTTTCCGAATGAATATATCGATTTGTTTTCAATACAACCACCCGTATTTTAACGCGGCCATCTAAGCCCATTGAACGCCTCGTTATCTACCAATAATGCGGCGAAATGAAAGGAATCACGACGTACTAACCCCTGAGTTCTCGAAAACGAAACCCGTTTACCTGGTTTTGAGCAATAGACCCTTACAGCGCTTATCACCCGGGCGAAAAATGCTGATTCACTGAGCCAAAACGCATGAGCAGCGTTTGATATACCGCGTTACACTGCCCAGCAGACAAAGATGGCGGCGCGAAGAATCCGACTATACCACACAGAAGACAAGGCCTTCCGTGCTCCCGCCACCCTCCCTCTCCCCCGAAAAACAACACTAACAAAAAACAAGCCGTCAACATTGCATCTACGCAGCGTTACCTATGCGCAGAGCAAGTGTCATCTGCTTCTTGTGCAGGAGTTGCGGTAACGTCAATATGAAGGGTAGTGGGTAGACCTCAATGCATGCTGGCTTGAGGTCTACCCAGTGTCCTTCTGTCAGAGCCATTTAGAGCTCGGCGTCTCTCTGACGTCACCACAACCCCTCCAAAAGAAGCAGACGAACTTGAGCTCCGTATAGCTTACAACATCGCACATCGCCGTCAGCGCGTCCTGCGGCGTCTCACGATGAGTGCCACGCAGAACTTGGCGTCGTCAAGACGGACGCTTCTTTACTTCTAGCTTCAGCGTCTTTGCTGCCTGGGACGGGTCGGAACTCCACTAAAGATGACGTCATTTACAAGAGCCTCGTCTTCTAGGGGGTATTGTTTTGAGGCTATACATCGTGGAAGCGAACAATATGCCAAATCGCCCGAGTAGACGGCGCCTAAAGCACCATTCCGTCGCGGGTTTTACACCGTTCAAAAGTCACAGCCCTAGTTCTCGGACACTGAGTGACTACACCGAGGGACGACGCAGCTGGACCGAGAACCGAAATCAACTTGGTAGCTGGCCAACTTTGCTGCCGTTTTTTTAACGCCTTTTCGAACGCTTTTTTTCTTACGATGACCGATGGCTTTGGCGAGGTTTCGCAAACTGAACCCGGGGTGTGTTTCACGTTCGTACGTCGTGGCCCGCTCCATTTAGTGGAACATTTGTTCCATAAGTTTAGCTAGGCCTCAGGGTGTCATGACATTGTGATGTCACGGTGTCACCTGCCGTCATGTCACACGGCGTCACAATTTTGTTTTCGCTAAAGTTAGCGGAGAATTGTTTTTCGCAAAATTTTGAGGGGGTTGTATTTGCTACATATAGCGGATAATCAAAGTTCCGTGACATGCTGACGTCACTCACAGTGTCATGTGAAACCATGTCACGTGACATCACCACACTGTAAAAAATGTACGTAAAATATACGTGCATTTTCCCAACCAAAAAATACGACGCGCCCTCGTATTTTTAAAAGACGAGTTGTGATCGTTTCTCGAAGTGCGCGGGGCGAAAAGCGCGCGCGGCGAGCCGAGAGCCAGCGGAGCATGCCAGGCGCGAGGACGCCGAGCATGCGCAGAGAAGGGCGAACCCGACCCGTGCTCGACGCCACCACCACCTCCGACGCCCGGAGGCCCCCCTCTCCCTTTCCGGCGCATCGTCGCGTTTGTTCATGTACCGCCGCGTGTAGGACGTACTAACGAACTTTCTCTTTACGTTCTCGCGGCTGTCACAACCTCGTGGTTTTTGGCGTTGCCTTATAAGCCGTTCCCTCCATTCGTTCCTTGCGGGAAGCGACGTCTAAAGGTATGCACCACTCCAGCAAACTTTCTATGTAATATCGGAGACAATATGAGCGTGAACGCGCCTCCGCTTGTCACTGCGGAAGCGCGTTCACGCTCATATTGTTTCCGATAGCACTTGACCCTTTCGCACAGCAATCGCAGCCTCGTGGTTTTTGGCGTGGCCTGTTCGGCTGTATCGCGCCGTTCCCTCCGTTCGTTCCTGGCGGAGCGACGTCCAAAGGTATGTGAACACTACTTTATTGCTTCAAAGAAACATCGAAAGGCATAAAAAGAAGGATGGAGCTTTTTGAAATCTGTACTCCAAAGAACATGTTGGATACGCTACAAAGTGCTACTGGTCCCCGCTCTGCATTGCCGTCGGTAGTGTCTGCGGTGCTGCATGAGGACCGAGTGTGAGTGCGTCCTTTTGAATAACTCTTGTATTTAAAATCCAATACATTTGGCGTGTCTTTAAAAGTTCGAATTCCAAACGTGCTTACCTGAAACTGGTCATACAAACATTTTTGAGTCTAGAGTATTATGTTTTTTTCTCTTATTCGTCAATTCTGAAGCCGTGAAATCTTAAAAACAACAAGAACGGCTACCATGCATATTTTCGTTGCCGTCGGCTCCGGTAATGTAGTACTGAATGCAAAAAAGAAGCCTCCTCTATCCTACAAGAGGCTGGTGTCCAGCAAAATAATCGCGTTAAATAATGATTTGAACGAGGCGTTTGAAAAATTGTGCATTTCTCGAAACAATCAGTGCCTTCTTTTTGCAAATCTGGATAGCTCGCCGAGTGAATTCCTGTGCCCCTTGTAAATCGCGAGCGATCTGTGTGTTGCGCTTGTAGATCGGGAGACGAACTGATGTGCCCAAGGAGGTGGAGCGCGTAGAGCGGTTGGAAGAAATTCGCTGCGTAGTGGTTCCGCATAGGTAATATACATACGGTTGACGTATGTTTATTCACTCGCGACATTTCGGTTTCGATGTTTATGCCGCCGTGTTCGTCACAGCCGCGACAGCGACCGTATCCATTTCGCTAGCAGTACTGTTGATGTCATGTTATCAGGTGGGTGCATTTATATTACACGAGCCATACGAACGTGCTCACGGTGCCCACCGTGCCACCCAAGTTTGGTGCCGACGCTCTCGCCTAATAATCGAAGTTGAAATCGGAATCCACTAATAGGTACTTGGGAGGGTACGAGTTTCGTCATTATTCCGTGGGGAGGGTAACAATTCGTTTATTAGCTAAGGCAGCAGAACCGTAAGTTATGTACCGTATGTCGGATCACGACGCGACGTCATCGCCCGAGATGGTTTCCGTGCAGCCCGTGAAGCATCGCCGGAGAGCTCGGCAGTGGCAGCGGCTGCCAGAGGACAGAGCAAACTCGTTTGCTGCAGCATGTGCCGCTGAGCTCGCTCGCGGAGGCTGGGCGCTCGAAGCTGCGATTCTGCGAGCGCTCTCGGTTCGCAAGGGGAAGGGGCTATAAAGCGGACGAACGGTTGTTTTTCCCATTTCGTTCTGCGGACGCCCAAACGGATAAGCAAGACGAAAAAAAAAAAAATAAAAACAGGTGCAACCTTTTTTTGTGTGTGTAATGTAGATCTTTCATAAATAAACGTTTCTTCATTTGAAAATATTTGTTAATCTGGGTAATCGGTAATTTAATTTGTAAAAATAAATCCTTATCGCAATTATATCGTTCATTGCCAGCTGCAAATTTTGCCAGCGTGCCAAACTTGCCGGCTTTTACGGTCGCACCGAGTACATTTATGCAGACGGTAAATTCGAAAAGGTTTCCGTTACCTGGTCCATGCAAATTCAAGCGTGTACATAGTATTAATTTGTTTTTCGTAACTTTTTTTTTTTCCCCAAACATATATCACTGTTTTGTGTGGCTATGTGACCCTGTGTTATGTTGTGGCGGAAAGTGAGTCATGTAGTATAACTGACATCAGCAACATCTCAAATTATGTTTACACCACATGACTAACTCTATCAATGAGTGTGTTGGTATAATTAGGCCAAACATCAAAAGGCAAAACGGAAGTGTGCAGCTCTCCGGAATCAGACAGTGCGTATTTTCTGGTCTATAGTCCGCAGACTATGCATGTATAAAAGTTGTTTTTTTTGTGTTGTGCAGACTATCTACAGATACGGGTTACACTATGCAATAATTTTTGTTTCTAGATCCTTCGTTAGCACCAGACTGGTCTGATTGGCTTGCAGATTTTAGAATGTTTTGTGCCGGGATTAAGAAGTGAACGTCACACTTCCAATCTGTTGCTCAGGCTTTCTATGCCTTGCGTGTGACACACTGCTCGCTTGGATGCCTGCAAGCGGTCAATGTGGGTCAAGCTGAGAGCTCTGTGGTTCACCCAGGAGAGGTGCACAAGAAAATCCAGACTTTCGTCCGCAAATATCTTTTGTGCGAGAGGTGCGGGCTGACAGACTATGGATGTTAGCTTTTCAGCCTACGTTTTGCCCTGCGGACTATGCATTGAGCGCCAACTATCCAAACGAAAACTTATTTTTTAGGCAAAATTGGCTCCTAGCGTCTTTAGACCGGAAAATACAGTACATTAAAGCACTTGTTGCTTACGCTAGAAAGTTAAACGAACCCTGCCGTCAGTGTTCACTGTCTTCGGAGCCATAACTTCACTGTCAATCATGTTCGGGAACCGACAGTTGGAGCTCAGTCATTAAATTCAGCATAACATGCTGATGGTAATTTAACAAAAAGGGCTTTTGCACCGTCCTCCGTGGAAATTATTTTGCGCGCCTAATTTTTCTCTGTTTCCCCAGACCTACAGAAGGGCTCTTTATGTCCCTCTGTCCGGTGGTGGTTGCAAGCGAGGCCTGCACCGTTATTGCCATCACCATAGTCTGAAGGTACGTATACACCACTTGACTACTTCCATAGAGGAGTGTGCTCAAACATTAAAGGGCCAAATGCCAGCGTGCTGCTCTTTTAAATTGGGCAACACTCCAAACCATGTGTTTTATAGGCAAAAAAGTTTTGCACTTGAGCGGTCTGCGGTGGTGGTATTTCACTCTCTGTGGAGTTGTAACTTTCTTGTGAATCATGCTAGAGCAGCGCAATTCGAAGCCAAGCAACCATAACATGCGGATGGCTAATTCACATACTCTCTCCTCTGTGGTAATTACTGCAGGCGTCTAATGTTTTCTTTTTTACCCACACCTACAGCAGGGCTCTGCCTGGCTCTGCGTCCCTCTGTCCACTGGTGGTCGCAATCGAGGCCTGCACCGTAATTGCCATCACCATAGTCTGAAGGTAGGTATGCACCACTTGACTACTTCCACAGAGGAGTGTGCTCAAACATCAAAGGGCCAAATGTCGGCGTGCTGCTCTTTTAAATTGGGCAACACTCCAAACCATGTGTTTTATAGGCAAAAAAGAAGTTTTGCACTTCAGCGGTCTGCGGTGGTGGTATTTCACTCTCTGCGGAGTTGTAACTTTCTCGTGAATCATGCTAGAGCAGCGCAATTTGAAGCCAAATCAATAGCAACCATAACATGCGGATGGCTAATTCACATACTCTCTCCTCTGTGGTAATTACTGCAGGCGTCTAATGTTTCTATTTTTTACCCAGACCTACAGCAGGGCTCTGCCTGGCGCTGCGTCCCTCTGTCCAGTGGTGGTTGCAAGCGAGGCCTGCACCATAATTGCCATCACCATAGTCTGAAGGTACGTATACACCACTTGACTACTTCCACAGAGGAGTGTGCTCAAACATCAAAGGGCCAAATGTCGGCGTGCTGCTCTTTTAAATTGGGCAACACTCCAAACCATGTGTTTTATAGGCAAAAAAGAAGTTTTGCACTTCAGCGGTCTGCGGTGGTGGTATTTCACTCTCTGCGGAGTTGTAACTTTCTTGTGAATCATGCTAGAGCAGCGCAATTTGAAGCCAAATCAATAGCAACCATAACATGCGGATGGCTAATTCACATACTCTCTCCTCTGTGGTAATTACTGCAGGCGTCTAATGTTTCTATTTTTTACCCAGACCTACAGCAGGGCTCTGCCTGGCTCTGCGTCCCTCTGTCCAGTGGTGGTTGCAAGCGAGGCCTCCACCGTAATTGCCATCACCATAGTCTGAAGGTACGTATACACCACTTGGCTACTTCCACAGAGGAGTGTGCTCAAACATCAAGGGGCCATATGTCGGCGTGCTGCTCTTTTAAATTGGGCAACACTCCAAACCATGTGTTTTATAGGCAAAAAAGTTTTGCACTTCAGCGGTCTGCGGTGGTGGTATTTCACTCTCTGTGGAGTTGTAACTTTCTTGTGAATCATGCTAGAGCAGCGCAATTTGAAGCCAAATCAATAGCAACCATAACATGCGGATGGCTAATTCACATACTCTCTCCTCTGTGGTAATTACTGCAGGCGTCTAATGTTTCTATTTTTTACCCAGACCTACAGCAGGGCTCTGCCTGGCGCTGCGTCCCTCTGTCCAGTGGTGGTTGCAAGCGAGGCCTGCACCGTAATTGCCATCACCATAGTCTGAAGGTACGTATACACCACTTGACTACTTCCACAGAGGAGTGTGCTCAAACATCAAAGGGCCAAATGTCGGCGTGCTGCTCTTTTAAATTGGGCAACACTCCAAACCATGTGTTTTATAGGCAAAAAAGAAGTTTTGCACTTGAGCGGTCTGCGGTGGTGGTATTTCACTCTCTGCGGAGTTGTAACTTTCTTGTGAATCATGCTAGAGCAGCGCAATTTGAAGCCAAATCAATAGCAACCATAACATGCGGATGGCTAATTCACATACTCTCTCCTCTGTGGTAATTACTGCAGGCGTCTAATGTTTCTATTTTTTACCCAGACCTACAGCAGGGCTCTGCCTGGCTCTGCGTCCCTCTGTCCAGTGGTGGTTGCAAGCGAGGCCTCCACCGTAATTGCCATCACCATAGTCTGAAGGTACGTATACACCACTTGACTACTTCCACAGAGGAGTGTGCTCAAACATCAAAGGGCCAAATGTCGGCGTGCTGCTCTTTTAAATTGGGCAACACTCCAAACCATGTGTTTTATAGGCAAAAAAGAAGTTTTGCACTTCAGCGGTCTGCGGTGGTGGTATTTCACTCTCTGCGGAGTTGTAACTTTCTTGTGAATCATGCTAGAGCAGTGCAATTTGAAGCCAAATCAATAGCAACCATAACATGCGGATGGCTAATTCACATACTCTCCTCTGTGGTAATTACTGCAGGTGTCTAATGTTTCTCTTTTTTACTCAGACATTTGTAGTTAATTTGTGGAATTGAAACAAGCCCACAGACATCAAAATAGCTTGTACAGTAGGACACCTATTCTACAATTTAAATGTAAGACAGATTCGACAAACATTTTGCTTTTTTTTGGATCGTTGACTAACGGAAAGCTGGGTCAATTAAACCAGGATGTCGAATGAACACATTTAACGCACACTTTCAGTATAGGACATTTGATACTTCATGAAGGTGAGCTATGTTGTTCTTTAAGTGTCTGTGCCTTATTCGTGACAGACATTATTCGCTGCACTAGATTTATCTTCTGAAATGTCAGTAGGTTTTCAAGTAAATCTGCATTTTCTCTGGCAGTTGCAGGTTTTCTGCACGTAAAGCGCAAGATGGAGCATGGACAAGTTTTTTTTGTTTTTTTAATCGTCCAAGGCATGGAGTTTTACTGAAGTTGAGCTATGGTCCCGTTACAAGTGGTCTGTGTTTTATTCATCATAGATATTATTAGCCGCATCAGGTTTTATCTTGCTCGTCTTTGAAATATCAATTGGTTTTCAACTAAAACTGCATTTTCCTGTTAAGCGCAGGTTTCTTCAGATGAAAGCGTAGACTGGGGTCCGAACAAGGTGTTCTTTTTTTAACTGGCCCAGGCACATTGTTTTATTGAAGGTGAGCTATGGTCTCCTACCCGCCTTACTTGTCACAGACATTATTTGCTGCCCTAGATTTTTCTTCTCTTTTGAAATGTCAGTTGGTTTTCAACTAAATATGCATTTTCCCTGGCAATTGCAGGTTTTCTGCATGTAAAGTGCAAGATGGAGCTTAGACAAGTTTTTGTTTCGTTAATTGCCTGAGGCCCAAAGCACGGTGTTTTACTGGAAGTGAGCTGTGGTCTGTGTCCTATTTGTCACGGACATTACTTGCTGTGTCAGATATTTCATGCCTCTCTCCTGCAATGTCAATTGGTTTTCAACTAAAACTACATTTTCTGTGATTAGCGCAGGTCTCCTCGGAGGAAAACATTAGGCGCCGAGATGTGCTGGCCTTCCCTTATGGTCCAGACCAGTTGTTTTCATCAAGGTGAGCTGGTCTCTCTTTGCAGATCGAGCAGGATTATTTGTATTGTGTGCATGTCAGGCTCACCTTGTTTTGTATTGTTTCGACAGCCTTGTGCTTAGCTTATGACTATATACATCTTTCTTTTGCATATGCAGGGAGCATTGAGATAGCCCTTCACCTCGGAAGAAGTACCCATAAACGAATTTTAGATATAATAAAGAGCTATTACAATTTCCCTCGTTTTTTGTTGTTGAAAATAAGCTCGAAGAAAACAGCTACAAAGAGCTAAAGAAAAATAATTTACAAACGACCGACCAAACTATTTTGCATTTTCACTGCTGTCTCAATTCTGAACCCTTTCTCAAGGGTGTTTATGTTGCGAGAATTTGCTGCCGATATGATGCCTTAATATGATCCGGCCAGCTCGAGCTGCACTTTCAAAAACCTCCAGGTCGCTCTGGTCTGTTGCAACTCTAGAACAGCAAGAGCAAGCCCCTCCCACAGAGCCCGCCACTCTTTCAACATCAGCAGAGCGGAGGCTGGAGAGCAGGGGAGTGGGGAGGAGAAAACAACCAATCATGGTGCAATGGTGGTTTCCTTCTCTCCACTTACCTATTATTCTTGGCTTGCAACAGATTTTAGCAGCTCACAGCTGTGTCTGCAGGTGCATCACATGAGAAACACTGTAGCTAGCTGCTGTTTTGCTGCACCCTATCTCACCTATTTTGAAGTTAAAGTTTCTGTGCCAATTATTTTCTCTTCATTTTAGACAAAGCAGCAGAGCTGCTCCAAAGTGCATGAATTCACTATTGCATTGCATTGCAATCCCCATAGTATATGGTTCACGTTTTCAGGTGCATCAATGACCCTGAAGTTATATTTCAGAATATCGTTGCACAGAAACTTGTGTAAGTGAAAAATATTGGACAGCAGAACATGAGCTACTTCAGTGCCTCAGCTAAAAAGAGATGTAGAAACAAATATTTTGTAAAAAAGAAATGATGAAATGCTTGGCAGCTCTATTAAGAGGGGTTGCCCATTAAAATGCTAATGTGCCCCCATATTGTGAAAATATGTGAAAAAAGATGTCGTCAATGCAACGGTACCCATTTTACCAAAGTGCAAGGTTGCTTGTTAAAATTATGTGCATGCATAATTTTAATGGGCATCCTTATACTTCGAAAGAATGAGTATTGTCATATTAACGACTTTTTCCACATTTTTTCAGAATATGGGGGCACGTTAGATTAATGTTATAATACCCATTTTTTCAGAGTATAAGGATGCTCATTAAAATGATGTGCACACATAAGTTTAACGAGCATCCTCGTATTTTGAAAAAATGGGTATCGTTGCATTAACGTCCCTTTTCACATATTTTCTGAATATGGGGGTGCGTTATTTTAACGGGCATCCCCTCTTAATAGAGCTGCCAAGCATTTTCTCGTTTTTTCTACGAAAGATTTTTTACAGTGCACTTCTCCGCTAATCTTAGCGGATAACTGTTTTCGCTAAATTTAGTGAGGAGTTTCTCAACTTAACTTGGCGAGGATTTAGTGCCCCATCACGTCATGTGTCCGCGTGATATCACGGAGTTACATTACGTATGACTTGACGATTCCTCCGCTAAACTTAGCGGAGAAACGTTTTTCGCTAAATTTAACGGGTCGTCAGGGTGTCATGGCATTAGGACGTCACAGTTTCACGCTACGTCATGTCACATAGTTTCACAACTTTTCCGCTAAATATAGCGGATAAATGTTTTCGCAAAATTTAGCGGGAATTTCGTGCCAAGTGGCTCGCTGTTGACACGTGTCGTCACAAGTGTCACGGAATGTCGTGGCTTCGCGCGACTTCACAGTGCCGTCGAACACCGTCCGCTCAATTCAAATACGGCGGTATAGCTGTGTGCAGCTGTGCGCTGCTGCGTGCCGGCTGTCGCTTCAGTTAAACACGGCAAAGAACCTTGAATTGGTTTCGAACGCTCTTCGGACGCGGAAGGCTTAGGCGACTAAGGTAAGAAAACCGCTTTTAAAAACGCCAATTGTGCGCGAGTTTTGCTCTGTCAAAAAACACAGGTCGTTACCAAGAGACATCGGCGGGCGTGGTTTTACAAGATCCCCCGCCGATAATCGGTGATCGGAGCACAAAGCGCCGCCGTCTGTTACACTTCCCAAACTGGAACAAGCGATCGGCACGGGCCCTAAGATGACTGGGAGAGGAGGCAGAAAAGGGGGCCCGGCCAATACCGCCTACAAGGCAAGGCCTGCCCATGACGTCATCGTTTGTGGATTCCCATTCCGCACCAAGACGCGTTCGTCTTGGTGTCGTCTAGTGCTAGTGTCGCGCTCGTTTGAGACTCTGCGAGACTCGCTGGCGGAGAAGCTAAAGCAAGCTATGCGACGCTGCGTGTATCCACAAGCTATGACGTATGAGAAGGGGAGAGGCGCGGGCCTCTCGGTGGTATCGGCCCGGTCCGTGTCCGGCGCCGAGATCCTGAGAGCAGAGGAGACGCAGAAACTCGCGCGGCTGGCATGCACGGCGGGGCGGTCCTCTTCTTCGTCCCCGGCGTTGGCTCTGGCGGGTTCCTCGGAAAAAGGGACTCCGATGCCGCCGTCCGAGAGCAGTCTCGGAAACTGGTTTGCTGCGGGGCCCCGCCTCCGGTCTTGGGGTCAGCCAAGGTCACCGGAGGTCACTGGCCAGCGTCGTTTAAACGGTACAACAACGGAGTCGCTTAGTGTCACGCGCAGCGGTGATACTAGCCCGAAGACGCGACCGGGCGTCAGGTGGAAGGAACTGCGGCCGAGCCGCGCCTCCGGTTAATGGCGACCGTGAAGTGTGACATTAGGCGCTGGTCAATTTGACCTTCTGCGGACGAAGAGACGAGTTGTCTCATTCGATGTCTTAGTGTCCAAGGGCCAAATGTCTTTGGAAGGACTATATGCGACTGGTCCTCGAGTGGAAGTTTTGGGGTTAAGTCGCGCATCCCCTTAATGTCAAGGCGGAGTGATGCAATAAGTAGTCGTACTGTACTAGCCAAAGTAACTATCTGCGTAGTAGAGACAACCCATCACGTATGATGGAACTGTTAACTTTCAAGCCCCAGTATCTTTCAAAGGACAATATGCGACTGGCCGTTAGGTGAAAGGACAGAGGTCAAGTTGTGTGTTCGCTTAATGTCAAGCGTGGAGTGTGACAAGCAGTTGTACTGCACTGGCCAAAGTGATCCTCGGTGGCAGAGAGACAAGTGATCAGATTTGATGACACTCTCAATATCCAAGCTCCCAATTTCACCTAAAGGACTATATGCCAATGGGCATCAAAATACCGTGACCGGGCCGCTCATGCGGTTAATGTACCCGCCGGGCGTTACGCTAAGCAGTCGTATCGCACTGGTCAAATTTAGCTTCTGAAGTGGGAGAGTAAAGTAGCCGGATTCGACATCTTAAAGTCCAAGCGACCACATTTCTCCCCGAAGGACAATATCTTTTGTTAATTACCTCCACCATTTACTTGTTTGCGGGGTATACAGTTGCTGACGTTAAATCAGCGAGGGGGCAAGCTAATGGCTGCTGGTAAATATCTGGACTAGGCGGCGATAGGGACATGATGCGTGGGCGAGTTTGTTACAAGTACTGGAAATATATTGACCGAATATTGTTTGTTATCCGCACCAGGCACGTAGCCAGGATTTTGTTTCGGGGGGGGGGGGGGGGGGGGGGGGCCGCCCATGACGAAATGCTGTATGAGGAGGAGGGGGGAGACGAGGTCCCAGCAAAATTGAAGATTTCAGGGGAGGCCCGGGCCCCATGCCCCCCCCCCCCCCCCCCCTAGCTACGTGCCTGATGCGCACGCCGATAACATAAATGGGTTGATATAGTATTTTTGAAACCAACAAGTTTGTGATTGTTTATTACAAAAACAAGATAAAACAAAACTCGCTGCTTGAGTTTCTTTTGTTAGCTTTGTTTGCTTAGGATAAAAAATCTTTCTAACGAAGCATTAATATTGTCTTGGTGACATACGTCCTCGATAAACCATAAATTGATTGATGGCTGGTTGCTATTACGAACTGCGACAAAAATTTATGGGGAGTACTATTATCTGAAATGGGCATGCACTATCTCGTGGCAAGTAAGACCCATAATATACTACAGTCATGTGTTCTTAATATGGACACCTCCGTTACCATAAAAAAATCGCCCATAATGTGTGTTGTCCATAATAACGAGACAAAAATTCATGTATTTTCTCAGTTCGTCCCCGAATGTGGTGTCCATATAGCGGGATATCTATATTAACGGGGTCCATATTAACGAGACATGAATGTAGTACTTCATGGTATAAAAAAACACTAATCTGAAACAGCTCATGATTGTCGATCATTACACGAAGTAGTTGAGAACTCTCGCAAGCAACATGGCCTAGTTAATTTGTACTTCTCCTGATATTTAAATGGAATAGTTGATGGAGGATACTAGCAGCGTGGAGCAGCATACCCGTACTATGAAAGAGTTCATAGCACGCGATAGCTAGCAGCGGTAATTATGTCCGCGGAATATATTGTGGTTAGTCTGTACGGTAGTTCACGTATCGCCTTCAGTCGCACATATCATAGACAGGACGTGACGACGGCGGGAGCGATCAAAGGGCACCTTGCAGCGCTGACAATGCTGCGGTGCCGGCCTCTCAATTTCCAAAGCCGTCATCTGAGGATATCCGGAGCAGAGGCAAATATTCTCGATTTTTTTCCCCTAGATCTCCGTATTGTGCCCAACCAATAGTCCGTCCTTCTACCTGTGAGTAGAACAAGTCGTGGTCTCCAATGGCAGAGTCGGCCTTACTTCCTGCCAAAGGAAGATAGCTGAGGTGAGCGGATAGAGGTGTCGCTTGTTGGCGCCGCAAGGTAGCTCCCAGTAGAGCAGACGACGTTGAATTGCTGTCTGTCTACACATCATCGGAAACTGTAGACGTTGCCTCGCATTAGCAGGCTTGTACTTATCATCATTAGCAGCAACAGTTTCATTATGAGTTTCTTTTACGTGCTCATGAACAGCGAAATTACTTTGATTATGATGCAGACACACGAAAAAAGGACTACACATTTATATAGTATTCGATGTGGGTTATAAAACCAGCTTGGATTGTGCAATTAACTTAGCAGAAAGAAAACTCAATTACAAATAAAGAATGTAGATTGAAAATAACTACGGGAAAGTCACAGCAAATATCT